CAAGGAGGATAGAAGGAGAATTGATGCCTTTGAGCTGTGGTGCTGGAGAAAAGTATTGAGGGTACCATGGACTGCTAGGAAAATATACAGACTCATCCTGGAGAGGGTTAAACCAGGCAGCTCCTTGGAGGCAAGGATTCTGAGGCTCCATCTGACATACTTTGGACATGTTGTAAGGAGGACCGGTCCTTGGAGAAGGACATCATGCTTGGGAGGGTGGAGGGACAGCATAGGAGAGGAAGGCCCTCTATGAGGTGGATTGATTCAGTGATTGGGGTAATCGGGATGGGAGTGTCAGAGACAGTGTGATTGGCACAGGACAGAGCAGAGTTTAGGGCTGTTGTACATAGGGACGCTATGAGTCGCAAGAGACTCGATGGCACATAACAACAACAATAGCACACCCATGTTTATTGCAGCTTTGTTCACAATAGCAAGGAGTTAGAAACAACCTAAGTGCCCATCAACAAACAAATGGCTAGAGAAGCTGTGGTATATTCGCACAATGGAATACTATGCTGCATTAAGAAACAAGGAACTCATGCAATATTACTCAAAATGGTTGACTCTGGAGAACATTATGCTGAGTGAAATGTCCCAGGCACAAAGGGACAAATATTGTATGGTGCCACTGTTGTAGAATGGGACTGTCCTTGGGGTTGGGGAGAGACTGAGTAAGATGGGTTCAATAATGTATGCTGCTCTGAAACAGAGAAGGGAGAAAACTGTTTGAAAGAGAGATATATGACTAGGTATTTCTGTCATGACAGGAGTCTAGAGCGATGGCTACATGGTGGAGTGGACCTGGGGGAGGGTTTGTAAAACAATGAAAGAATCTTTTCTTTCACTTTTCCAAGAGGGTAATGTCTGGTGAGGGGGAGCCTTGGGAGGGGACAAATCTACAACAGTGAATGAATGGAAATCCAAAGCCTCTGTAAATTTTCACTGAAATAAATAACAAATTTAAATTTAAAAAAAAAAGAATTAAGTTAGAGTAAGGATGGCAATGGAACCACCTTACCTCTGTAACTTGATTTGTGCCACTATTAGAACCTCTACTCAGAATATTATTGCTTTTCAATTTTTGACTCATGCACTTTTAACTTGTTAGTTAAATTTGTATCTTCTAGGCTGCAACACTTCCATGACACATCTTCAAGGATCTGAACATGTACGGCTAAGCACAATTGATAACAGTGCATCTAAATTCCAAAATCAATCTCCATAATAGTCTATGTGTTTCCTACTGCCAAGGGGGCCCTTTGGAGTAGTGAGAGAAGACATTCACCCTGAAACCCACAGCGTCCCTTTTCAGCAGGAAGTATCTAAGAGAATACGGCATCCCCTTTTCCTTATGAATCAGGGTGAAGTCTTTCTTAGGGAGGAGTGATAGGGAATGGCAAGGGACACACTGACAAAGGAGATTAATCAGAACTGGCTTTGACAAGCACTGTGGCAATTGGACAATTAAAACAGACATTGGGGGGGAAGAAGAACGAACTGGGGATGAGGGTGGAGAAAACAGTGCAATAATGAATGAATGAAAACCCAAAATCTCTGTAAATGTTCATTAAAACTAATAAAATTTAATAAAGGAAACAACAACAACAACGGGGTCCTTATGAGTCAGAATCAATTTGGTGGTGGTGAGTTTGGCATTAAGATCATACAGCTTGGAGAGCAACAAAGCCAGAATTTGAGCCCAGGTCAGAGGTACGCTGCTTTCAAACAGGGACACGTGACAGGTGAACATGCCGATTAAATCAACAGTGCGGGCAATGCGGTTTGCATTTTATCAGGAAGCAAAGCAGCAGATAAATCATTTCTTAAGTACATATTGAATTCCAGAGCCTGTTGTGGAATGTAATAAACATACATGTCCTTTCCTGTATCGTTTTAATGGCCTGTGAGAGGGAATGAGTGCTTCACAGTGAGCCGAATCAGTGGTTAGGTTTGAGAGGGAAAAGTGGCCCAGTGCAAGCTGCTTATCTTCCATATGAAGTCACCACTTTTCTACAAAGCAAATTGAGGTCACATGCAGTCTGAGGGCACCTTGGTTCCCCAGGTGACTACCAGGGGCAGCGGAAAGTAATGGACTCAGGTGAGAAAGTGGAAGACAGGGCTTGACGTCACCAGGAGGGTCCTGGCCACCAGTGCAGAAGACAGAGAATAGGGAATCTCTGATGAAAGGAGAAATGGCAGGAGAAAGGGCACCTCTGCTTGGACTTCTGCTTGTCCTTCCCTCCCTGACTTCATTTGGGTCCCTTCTAGCATTCTGTTCTCCCTTATTGCTGCCTGGGCCTCTCTGAAACAGGAACTTGACATTGGCACAACTGTAAAACTTTTTTTTTTAAACTATGTAAGATCCCACAAGCATTGCTCACAGAAAAAATGACCACCAAACCTCCCTACACATATGTCCCTGTCTGAGTTCGTTGTTTGCTGCAGTTGGAAGGGAGCTAAAGGCAGTCCCGCCACAAGGGAAGGAAATTTACAAGGTTTTCACAGGCTGACTTGTGGAAGCAGATGCAACACCTTTCTTCCTAGTCCATCTTAGCCTGGGAGCTTCCACTGCAACCAACTTCATATCACAGCAACACACAAGCTTCCAATGACAGACGGATGGTGGTTACACATGATGTACACTGACCCAAGAAACAGACTGGGTCTCCTGCATGGTAGGAGCCACCCAGACCCCACAGCTCATAGATACCCTTCAGATGACAGATGACTGCCTCGTCCTATCCTGTGCAATCGTCACCATCTCCACTAAGCTCAGCCTAATGTTGACATCAGCGTATCAGTCTAACTTGTTGAGGATCTTCCTTTCTTTTGTTGAACCTCTTATCCAGCTTGATGTCTTTCCCTAAGAGCTGGCCAGCCTTTCTGACAACATGCTTAAGGTATATGAGTCCAAATTTCACCGTCCTTGCCTCGAAGGGACACTCCGGTTTCATTTCTCCCAAGACAGACATGTTTGTTCTTCTGCCAGTCTATAGGATATTCAATACTCTTCTTCAACACCACAATTCAAAGTCATCAATTCTTCTGTCATCTTTATTCACTGTCCAACTTTCAGACGGAGGGTATTTAAAATATCGTGGATCAGGCACATCTTAATCTTTCAATGGACATGTCAGGTTTTTAGTACTTTACAGCAGATCTGTCCACTGCAAACAGAGGGAAAGCATTCTACCACTGAACCTCCATTGCCCCCTTTGTGTGATCTCCCACCGATCTTTCCTGGAAAAGATGAAGCTCGACACATATGTAAAGAGTTACAACAGTGGAAACCCTAAGAAGCAGTATTACTCTATTCCATAGCGTGGCTCTGAATTGGAATCAACTCCACTAGCAGCAGGTCTGGAGAATTTCCTTAGTATGTATTGAGGCTCAATATCAAGAAAACAAAGATTCTCACCACTGGGCCGATTGGCAGCATCATGATGGATGGTGAAGAGATTGAGATTGTTCACAGTTTTCGTTTGCTTGGTTCCACAATCAACACTCTTGGCATCAGCAGCCAAGAAATTAAAAGATGTATTGCATTGGGAAAGTCTGCTGTTAGGGACCTCTCTAAAGTACTGAAGAGCAACGATGTCAGTCTCGAGACTAATGTGTGTCTGATACATGCAATCACTTGCTAAGCATCAGAGAGCTGGACAATGACTAGGGAGGAAAGAAGGAGAGTTGATGGCTTTGAGCTGTGGTATTGGAGAAGAGTATTGAATATACCATGGACTGCTAAAAGAATGAACAGTTTGTCCTGGAGAGGGTGAAGCCAGACTGCTCCTTGGAGGCAAGGATTCGGAAACTTCATCTGACATACTTTGGGCATGTTGCAAGGAGGGACACGTCCTTGGAGAGGGACGTCATGCTTGGGAGTGGGGAAAGGACAGCAGCACAGGAGAGGAAGACCCTCGATGAGATGGATTGATTCAGTGACTAAGGTAATGGGGGTAGGTGTGTCAGAGTCAGTGAGATTGGCACAGGATAGGGCAGGGTTTTGGGTTGTTGTACATACGGTTGCTATGAGTCGCAGGCAACTCGGTGGCACATAACAACAACAACACACTCCTCCGGAGCAGCTATGAAGTACTTTCAATTTCCTGCATTCCTCTTCCTTTCCTCCTGAAGAAGGTGGTTTCTTCACCTGGAACATCCTTTTGTACTAGTTCTCCTTGGAAAATGACTGTCGTTCAGGTGGCAGCTCCTTTAAAAGCCTTCCCTGGCGCCCTTATCCCAGTCTGGGGTGTGAGTTCCTCCTGTGCTGCCATTACCCCTTAGGCTTTCTCCATCACGTTGCGTAAGAAATACCTGCTCTGTCTTCCAGCGCAAATCCCAGAGCATGCAGATATAGAATATATAGAAGGCGAGACGAGCCCAGATTCAGGATCCACTTGTCTAACTTTAGGTAAATTAATTCCCTAGATTATAGGCTTGTTGTGAGGAGTGAATGAATGAATACATGAAAAAGGCTTAGATCAGTATCTGGAACACTGTAAACACTCCTCAAACTTTTGACTTTTCACAGCGGCCAACGCACGTCATTGCCCTTTTAAGAGAGTCGCCCACTTGCGCAACTAAGCGGAAGTGACCTCAGAGCCTTAAAAAAAAAAAAAAAAAAAAAGAATGGCCTCCGAACGTCCTTCCGGAAGCTGTCACCGGAGTCTCCGTGACGCAGAACGAGTTGGAGCGTCCCATGGGGTTTCCATAGTGCTGCCCTCAGGCCCCTGTCTCTCCGCTTCCTCTCCCGTCTGAGCGCGGTGAGCGGGAAGGCGGGCACCGGCGGCCTCCGGAGACCACTTGGGGGAGGAGCTAGCTGTGGTGACGCTCTGGGCGCGCTCGTGTGCGTCTCTATGGTGCCGCGCCAACCAGCGCGCCGCTCGCCCGCGTCAGGCCGGACGTTGCCCCTTTAATCGACGGAGGACAGGGACGAGAAGGTCCCGCGAGAGTTGCGGGGGGCGGGGGGCGGTGCCGAGGCTGGGGGCCCGGGGAGGATGGAGCCAGAGATGGAGCCGGAGACTCTGGAGGCGCGAATCAGTGAGTGTCCGGGAGGGGCGCGGGCCGGACCGGAACCGGAACCGGGGGCACTAGGCGGGCTCCTTCCCGGCGGGGGCGGGGTACGGGGCGCCCCCTCCTCACGCCCCGCCCCCGGCCCGGAGGGGCAGTGGCCCGAATCTACCCCTTGAACCCGGGAAGAATGAAGACCCCTTTCAACCGGCCTTGGGGGCTCCGCCCACCCCCATCTGTCCTTTGGCCGCAACCCCCCGGGAAGTCAGTTAGCTGCATGCCATCCAGTCTGCACCTACCTGTCACCCCGACCCCCGCGTCCGAGGAGCCCCCTGCACCCTCTGGGGGCTCAGACCTCGGCACCGGGGGGCGGCCCGGGAGGGAGGCAGCTCCTGGCCCGAATCCACCCCGGCCCTGCGTGGCATGACTTCCTCCCCCTGCGCCCGAGTCTGCAGCTCCCCTTCGCTGTGCCCGATGCCCAGCCTGGGCTCAGAGGACTCTCGGTCCTGGCTGAGTCCTCCAGGCTCCGGCCTTAAGGATTCACCCCCAGACCCTGCAGGCTTGGGAAGGTCCTGGCTCAGACGGCCGGAGCAGCCCCAGGGTCCCGATCACTGCCTTCCAGCTCAGCCCCTCGGGCTCTGCCCCACGAGGCTCCTTCCCCACTTTTTGCCCTGGTTCCTCCAGAGGCCCTGCGCCCTTGTTTCTTTATGTCCCCCACACTCTCCACGTGAGCTGCCTGTCCCCCCACCTCCTCTGTATGCTTGATCCTCACATCCCTCAAACCACTCCTAAACTCTGCCCCTAAGAACAGCTGGCTGGCCTCTCCTTGGGCTGGTGTGAGCATGTTCTCAAGTTTGTGCGTCCCTTTGGGCCCGCAGATCAGTCTAGGGGAAGCCCCCTCATCCAGGCTTCTGCTCCGCTCCATGGATCCAGGGTGGTTTGGGAGCGTGGCCAATCCCCCTTAAGCCAGAGGTGAAGCCTGGGGTTGGCCCCAGAACCACAGGTCTCTAAGGAGGCAGTCTGGCCAGTGGAGGGGGGAAAGGGGGCAGGGCAGGAGGCACTCCGCAGCCATGGGGAATGTTCCAGAGTGCCTCAAGTGTCCGAGTCTCCAGGCAGCTTGGCAAGAGGGGGAGGGATGGGGGTCCGGACAGCTGATCCCAGACAGGCTGCAGGACTGGAGCTTGGGATGACACAGGACAGCTCAGGCTAACGACGGGGCAGGTTTTCTGGAAGCAGCAGGCAGCCAGGGCCTCCTGATCTGACAAGCGCTGGGCCGGGTCAGAAAGAGGCTAGCAAAATTGGAAACGCTGCACTCCTGAGGACTGGAGGTGAAGGGCGGCCGCTGGTGGGGTGATTGGTGAGTGTCACTGCTGAGGAATGACAGAGTGCAGCCATGCCCTGTTACAAAATGATTGGCCCTCCTCCCTCCCAGGCTGCTCCCTCTGCTGCCTCCTGGGGATGCTCACCAGGTGGAGGGAAGAGAGTGGGGGAGCCAGAGAAGGCCCGGATCTGCTTGGACTCAGGGGCCCTAGCTCAGAGCCAGATGCAGATGAGAGAGCCCAGTGGGGCCTGGGCTTCCCCCTCGCCACCTTCTGACTCCCGAGCCCTCATGTCACTCACATGCCTTTGACACTTTCTCGGACTTCCTCTTTTAGGGTCCCCCAGTTGGGGACAAGTGGGCAGTATCCAGCTCCCATCTCTCTTCCTTCTCCCTCCAGCCCTGCCTCCCCAGCCTGACCGTGTTGGGAGGCCCAGCAAGGTTATCTCTCTCATGGCTGTCCAGTCAGAACTGACTTATCCGACCCCCCAGGGGGCTTTCAGAGGCTGTAAATCACACAGGAGCAGATGAGCTGGTGGATTCAGGCTTAGCTCGATGGGCAAGGGGTGTTGGCTCGGGGTTGAAAGTGCTCTGTCCACCCTCGCTCAGGGGGCCTTGTTCCTCATGGCTTGAGGGTAGTCGGATGGGACCTCCTGTCCCTGTAGAGTCCCCAGCGTGAGCGCTTCCTTCAGCTCTGCTCAGCTGGCCTGCACCTTCCTGGAGAGCGGCCCTGCCGGCCCTTGCTGGGCCTCCCCCCTGCTCCTCCTCCTATATTCCGAGTTTGTTAGTCTGTGTCTCCAGTATTTTCTCACTGGCTCTGAGGGCCAGGAGGGCAGAGGTTTTGTCCTGGTCACTGCTGTGGGATACATTTGAACTGAGTGAATGGCTGCCTTGTGCGGAGGTCGGCGAGCGCCACTGCTGGGCGCCCGACTCCTGTCCACACACCCTACTGCACCCTATCTCCTGGGCCCTGTTCTCCTGCTGGCCCAGTGCTCAGGCGTGGGCACAAGTGCACAGGAGAGGTGAAGCGGGAGGTGGGCTGCCCCACAGCCCTGCCAGGCCACCCCTCATGCACTCCAGTTGTATAACTGGGGAGACAGGTTTGGGGAAGATGTTGACCTGGTCTTGTTACCGTCTCTGTCCTGGAGGCCCTCCTGTCCTGTCTCCTTCCTGGGCTCAGAGCCTCAGCCCAGCTGTCAGCAGCTGCCCCTCACCTGTGATAGGCTCACCCCACAGCAATGGACAGGTCTGGAGAAACTGGGTTGAGGTGACCCCACACTGCCAGCCAGCCAGGAACAAGGGCACAGGGAGGCTGCCTGGAGGGGGTGGGCTTTTTGGTCACAAGCAGGCTGATGATATCCACATGGCTTGCCAGGGCCCGCAGTGGCCCAGCCACCCCACGTGTTCCCTCCTCACCCAGCCCTACTTAAGGGCACCTTTTTCAGGAAGCCCCAGGCCCCCACACTCCAGCTGCACTGAGCCCCCTCTGCTTCCTCCACTCCTTTGTATCTCCTGCCACTGTGTTGAGCGCCTGGTTCCCCTTGGCCTACTTCCGAGCCTCTCTGCTCCCAGAGGGCAGGACGGTGGCTCTTCATCCCTCCGATCTGCCCTGAGCGTAAATTCATGAGAAAGGTGGAGTAGTTTGCAGGAGTGGAATCGGGGCATGAGGGGAGGTTATGGCTACAGGGGGGTGAAGGAGAGTAGAGGAAGGACGCCCAGACATAGCCTCAAAAAGAAGGGCCTTTGGTGAGCTCTGGGGGGAGCCAGACAACACCCCAGTGATAGTCAGAGCCCACTTCTCAGGCTTTGCAGCAGGAAGCCTGGGGAGGCCATTCCCATCGGCAGTCACGTCCCCTGTGGACCAACCCCTGCGGTGACCATGGTAGGTGAGCAGGGACGGCTGGGGTCCTGTCTCCAGCACACTGACCCTCTCTTTCCCACAGACAGAGCGACAAACCCTCTGAACAAGGAGCTGAACTGGGCCAGCATCAACGGCTTCTGCGAGCAGCTCAACGAGGACTTTGAGGGGTAGGCAGCTCCCTTTCAGCCGAAAGCAATATGCCCACAGCAGCCCTCGCCTCAGGCACAGGACATGGGAGACCGAGGCCCGGGTTCTGTTCTTGACGTGCTCACGATAAACAGTACTGCAGTGAGCACCCCAATTGTGTCACACCCCATGGCGGGCCTTGCTGGACCCATTGATGAGAAACTGAAGTGCAGGGGCTCAGCACTTTGGCCTGAGGTCCCCCAGAGAGAAAGTGTCCTCACCAAATGTGACCAGGCCGAGGTCTGCCTGCCTGACCCCCCGCCAGGGGAGAGAGCCCCTCACTGGCCTGTGCTGAGGAAGAAACCAGTGTGTCAGAGCCAGGACTTGGGCCAGCATCTGCACGGGGCAGTCAGGACGCCCGCACTGTTCGTGGGCTCCCCAGATGTCCTTGCATTTGCGTGAAGTTCAGGCACGTAACTCCACATGCTTGCTCGCCTGATCTCCTGACTGCTCGTGCCACGGGTGTGGATTGCAGATACAAAGAAGATCAGAGCATTGATCATTAACCACCTTTTCTCCACCTGTCGTCATGTGCCTCCTCGTCTAGTGGTGAGGATTTTGTCCTCGTGGTGTTGAGGTGCAGTCCTTATTGAAGTCTGTAGTCTTTGATCTTTCAAACACACTAGGTCATTTCATTTCTTGAGTGCTGCTTCCATGGCTGTTGATTGGCTCCTAAATGAAATACTTGCCGGCTTTCCAGCCTTTCTTCCCTCAATCTTGATGTTGCTAATTGGTCCAGTTGTGAGGTTTTCGGTTTTCATTTTTTGAGGGTTAATCCTTACTGAAAGCTGGAGTCTTTGATCTTCGGCAGTTTTTCAAGCCCACTTCACTTTCAGGAAAGGACTGTCATCTGCATATAGTGGGTTGTTAGCACGTCCTCTTTCAGTCCTGATGCCACGTTCCTCGTCACCCAGTCCAGCTTCTGGGATTCTTTGCTCAGCGTGATGCGTTCCGGTTCTTAGTAAAGCTGGCCAAGGCGCCGCACTCAAGCCTTTTGAAGGTCCTCTGTGCCCGGGCCTGCCCTGTCATGCTCTTTGTTAAGATCTTTGCCCCATCTGATCTGGAGGCAGAGCTGGGCCTTTGCGTCTGCCCTGGAAAAACCCATGGGACTGAAATCCAGGGGTTGTGCCTCTGCCCTGGGACACTGGGTGCTGCTGCCGTTACGAAGCCCCAGGCCCCGTCACGACTCTGCCTTCTCATTCCTCCCCTCACAGGCCTCCACTTGCTACCCGGCTGTTGGCTCATAAGATCCAGTCTCCACAGGAGTGGGAGGCCGTCCAGGCCCTGACGGTGAGGAGAAGGGGACCCATGCAGAGTCCTAGACCATGTGACTGGCACCTGGAGGAAGCCCAGCCTGGCGCAGGTCCCACCAGGCTCTTCCTCAGAGCCTAAGGGAGTCGCCTCAGAGCAGGGCTCTGGCTCAGCTCCCAGAGGGTCCACTCACAGCAAGAGGGTCTGCTGCCCCTCAGCCCAGACCCTGTGCAGTCAGGTCTGCTGGAGTGAATCCCAGGGGGATCCCCTCACTCCAGCTGTGCACGTGATCACAGGAGGCTCATGACATGTGCAGGGACCCTCCCACCCCCACCCACCCTTCCTGTCATCTTGGTTGTGGCCTGGACACCGTATACTTGTCCAGCTCCCCAGGACCCCGCCCAGCCCAGTGGGAACCTCCAAGGCTGAGCGCACTGGCCTTCCCTGGGGGCTGTGCTGAGAGCAGAAGAGTAGAGAGAGGCAGATGTGGGGGCCCCGGGGCCTGGGCCACACGTGAACACAGGCTGAATGGCAGGTGCATGCATGCACGTGTGTGCACGCGCGCGTGCATCTGTATGTGTCTATGCACACACACACACACACGTGCTCTGGTAATACATGTTCATTTTAACACATTCATTTTTTTTCTCTTCAAATGCACATCACTCCTGAGAGCACACATAGAGCTTAGGAGAAAGCCCAGGTAGATGGTGCCTACTTCGTTTTCTTCTAAAAAGAAGAAAAGAAAAGAAAAAGGAATATAATTTGGCGAGCTCTGGTGGCCTAGTGGCAAGAAGCTGCATTGTAATCCCAAAGGTGCGTGGTTCAAATCCACCAGATGCTCTGCTGGAAAAGGAGGAACAATCTCCTCCTGTACCAGTCAGATCTGATTTGACGGTACACACAAAAAATAATAAAATAAAATAAAATAAAATAAAATAAAAATTTTTTTTAAAAAGAACATAACTTCTATGTGGAACTCCAATATCACCCAGGCTGTAGAGGGCCCTGCTCTGTGGCCAGCGACCCCCCACCCCCACCCCGGGAGGAGACCCATCCCAGGGGCCTCTGTGGACTCCGAATCCCCTTGTCTCAGGAGTCCTCTGCTCCCCCAGGCCCCAGCAGAGGTGGGAGGGCGCGTCCTCTGCTCCCCGGCACCCCTCACACCCTCTCCCGCCCCAGGTGCTGGAAACATGCATGAAGAACTGTGGCAAGAGGTTCCACGACGAGGTGGGCAAGTTCCGCTTCCTCAACGAGCTCATCAAGGTCGTGTCGCCCAAGGTGAGCACGCCCCGCGGCCTCCCGCCGCCCAGCCAAGTGCATCTTAGGGCATCCGACCACCTCGTGGTGGGGGGCTCAGCCCAGGCAAGGCCCCGTCCCTCCTCACAGCCCCCTCACACAGCTGAGGCTGACACAGGTGAGGGGTCTTTAGAAGAGCACCCCAGGCTGGCTGATGCAATCTCTGAGGAGCTAATTAGCATTCAGAGGGCTGTCCACAGCAGCAGGCCAGGCCACCAGTGCTGAGAGCAGCCCCGCGGGCAGAGGGATCTCCCTGCTCCCCTACACGGGACAGGCCTCCTGTGTCCTTGGCTGCCCAGCCCCCAGACCTCAGTGAAGAAGCAGATAGACAGACATACCTGCTGTGAGTGGCTCTGGCCTTTGACCAGAGAGGTCTGTCCATATGGCCACTTGCCTTCTATCTCCAGGAGCCACTGGCCCCTACTCTGAGGGGAGAACTCTGGTGAGAGCTCTTTGCTCCGGCTGGCTTTGTGGCTGGGCCTCCAGGGCTCAGGGCTGAGCACATCTATGCCTGCCCCTCCAGTGATCAGCCTCAAAGCCTTGGACTCCAAGGTCATGGTCACGCTGCGTGACTGTAGGCCGACTCCTCACAGTGACCAGATGTGACCTGAGCTGCTTTCCGTGCCCTCAGCAGGTCAGCCCCCTGCACCCTCATCCAGCTGCTGCCCATGTTCCCATCTGAGGAATGAGGAGCTGAGATGCTGGGCTGACCAGCGTGCAAGTAGCAGGGCTGAGAAGTAAATGAGCACAGTGTCCCCTAGGCTGGTGACAGGGGGACATAGGGGGCAATAGGCCAGAGGGCATCTGAGGGACCCTTCCAGTAAGGCAGGCAGGCTCGGCTGGGTCAGGGCTGAAGTGAGTCGGGACGGGTCACGTCACAGACCTCCCTGGCCCTCCCTCCCTGCAGTATCTGGGCTCTCGGACGTCGGAGAAGGTGAAGAACAAGATCCTGGAGCTTCTCTACAGCTGGACAGTTGGCCTCCCCGAGGAGGCAAAGATCGCAGAGGCCTACCAGATGCTGAAAAAGCAGGGTGAGGCCGCGGCCGTGGCCAGGGGCCTCTGGGCCAGCAAGTTTGGGGATTGACCCTCCTCCAGGGGACCTTAGCACCAGTGGGGCCTTGTCAGGCTCTGGCCAAGTTTGGTGTGAGTGGAGGGGAGGGGGGTGTGGATAGAGCTTCTCCTCGGAGAGTAATGTGTGCCCAAACCATCTCCCGCACAGCGATTTGACCCCGGGCCCACCAGTGTTGAGAGCCAGCCTCCCACCTGCCCCCTGCTCCTCCATGACCATTCCCATCCCACCCGGCTCTGGGCCCTGGTGACAGCTGTCCTTCACCCCCACCCTCCGTCTCCTCAGGGATTGTCAAGTCCGACCCCAAGCTTCCAGATGATGCCATCATCCCCCTTCCTCCTCCACGGCCCAAGAACGTGATCTTTGAAGATGAGGAGAAATCCAAGGTGAGACGGGGAGGAAGAAGGAATGTTGGGGCCGGAGTCCGGGGCTCTGGTCCTGGTACCTGGCTGCCCTGGCCTCAGCCCTCCAGGCAGAGGCTGGTGCTGGGCACGGGCATGGCAGTGGCAGCAGGCTGTGCTGTTTACTGGGCACTTACTACGTGCCTAGCACCAGGCTGCATTCTCTCCATACCCCCTGGTGTCAGTGTGAGGGTTTTCGTGGGTTGACCAGAGTTTATACAACGTCACATCTTGGTCTGTCCCCTTCAACTATGTCCCTTCAATTATATCTGTGTTTTGTTAAAAAGCCTGTGCTAACAAGTAGGCTGTAAACACCACAAAAGGAAAGAAGTCCGCACTCCTCCCCAGCCCCAGGCCCCAGGAGAACTGCTATTAAATTTCTTATCTGTCCTTCCCCAAGGGCTCTTCGCTATGTAGTGACCTCATTTCTGACAGACTCATTCCTCCAGGCATCGCGGGCGCACTTTGTGTACCGTGTTTCCATTTTCCTTATGGTCAGTCCTTCAACTCCAGTAAATTCTCACCTTTTCACAGAGAACTAACTGTTCGAGTCCCACAGTCAGGAAATGGGGAGCCGGGGCCATCACCCCGACACGGCGCGGCCCTCACAGTTCATCCGCTGTCTCCACAGATGCTTGCCCGTCTGCTCAAGAGCTCACACCCCGAGGACCTCCGAGCGGCCAACAAGCTCATCAAGGAGATGGTGCAGGAGGTGAGGGCGGGGCCAGGACCCCGGGAGGCAGCGGGTGGACATAGCTGGGCCACCAAGCCGGGGAGGTGGTCCAAGGAACCCTGAGGTGACCCGGCTCTGGGATGCCACGGGGTTAAGGAGCTAAGTGACCGAGGCATCACAGCAGGTAGTGCCAGGACCAGTGTGTGGAGGGAGGGCTTCCTCAGTAGTCATAGCTCCTGCCCCAGTGGGCTTCTGGGAGGCTGACCACTGGTTATGTAAAGCTGGCCCTGCATCCTGTACAGCAGCCCCAAAGAGGCTAATGACAGGGCCCCTGGGCTGGAGAGACCCCACCTCTCCGTGAGTGTGGCTCCCACTTGCCCACTTCCCTGCCGGCTCCGGAGCCGCCATTCACTGGGATCACACCGCCGCATCTGGACACTGGCTGGCTTTAACACTTTGGTCTCCAGAGAACCACCAATGGCAGGCTCGGCGGACCTGCCGCAAGCTGTTTGCTGTGCAGAGAAAGCTCTTAATAAATTAGGCCTTAAATGCACTGAATGTTGGCAAAGACAGCTGGCTATATTAGGGTCTGCCAGATGCAAAACAAATCTATCTTGGAAGAAATACAGCCAGGACGCACCTTAGAAGTGAGAGTGCCAACGCTCCAGCTCATGTTCTCCAGACATGTCATCAGGAGGGACCAGTGTCTGGAGAAGAACATCGTGTTTGGTAAACTGCAGGGTGACAGGAAAACAGGAGGACCCTTGGAGAAGAACTCACCCAGCGCATACCTCTCCTGACTTCCACAGCAGCGACTGTGCGGGCCCAGTGTGGGCACCTGTCGTCCTGTGACACAGGAGGTCCTGTGCTCTAAACCCACTCGGGGGCAGCCAACAAGAAGCATGTCTGTGCGCAGACACACACACATGCGTTTATAGAACAAGACAGAGAAGGGAGAAGCATGTCTGTACGCAGAGACACACACACACACACATACGTTTATAGAACAAGACAGCAGAGAGAAGCCCGCGCACCATGGAGCTGTCACAGCAGGGCTGTCGATGAAGACCACCAGTCTTGTGGAATTGGCTGTATGTGATGGTCCACACGAGAGACTAAGAATATTGTACACAAGGATCCTTGATGTTCTCGAGCAAATCCCTAAATATGCCTCATTCACAGAGGAGATTGCAGATGCAAAGCTGAACATGGTTAAAGCGCAACCAGATGTTAAAAAATTGGAAGACGTGGTCGCTCTTGCAGGCGTGCGTTGTTCACTGGCTCCCACTCCTGACTCACCGCTGTTCGCTCTCCCGGGGAATAAGGCGGTCAGGAAGCCGCGCTGTAGCCATGGCCTTTAGGGACACCGGAAAGATGCCCGTGAAACCAGAGGTGGCCATTCACCGATTAGGATGACCCTAACCAGCCGCAACGTAAAATCCCTGCAGAAGGTGTGCCCCGACTTGATCAGAGGTGCAAAGGAGAAGAACCTGAAGGTGAAGGGACCGGTCAGGATGCCTCCCAAGACTCTGAGAATCACCACAAGGAAGACTCCTCGTGGGGAAGGTTCCAAGGCCTGGGACCGTTTCCAGATGAGGATCCCCAAGCGACTCATTGACTTGCACCGCCCTTCCGAGATTGTCAAGCAGATCACCTCCATCAGCACTGAGCCCGGAGGAGAGGTTGAAGTCACCATTGCAGATGCCGAAATCAACTATTTTAATAAATTGACTATCCGTTGGTAGAAAAACAACAATAATAATAATAATTAGAAAAGGAACTTCAGGGGGCACAAATGGAAGAAGTCATCTTTCAGGCTGAAAATTAAGTTTTGACAAGAAAAACAGTATAGTAGAAACCATGGGAGCCTTTAGTGGAAGAACCAATCTAACCACCATTAAATGCGACTTTGGGACGTTGAGTGGAAAATTATGTAGTTAATGTTCTGTTAAAGTTTAAAAAAAACCCAAAAAACAAGAGACAGACCTCAGGAGGATGCTTCTTCGTTTGTGAGCGTACACGTGGACCCGGCGTGTAGGCACATGCCCACACCCTGTCTGGCTGATGACAGTAAGTCACCGTCAGTTTCCAGACTGTAAAGGCCAGCAGATGAGCAGTGACAGCACAGAGGGGGAAAGACAGAGCTTCCAGGCTCACGGTTAACAGGGAAGGAGCAGGCCAACGCAGTCCTGCACGGGCCGCAGCCCGCAGCCCGAGGCCAGCTTCCCGCTCCAGCCCCCGCAGGGCCGGGGCTCTCTGCATGTGGGTGACTGGACACGGCCACCAGAAGCTTCCTGAAGTGCTGTGGAGGGGCGGGGAGTCAGGCAGGGGCTACCCGCTCCTCGTCCTCACCGCGTGGTGAGCTGATGTTGGGCAAGCAGGTGAAGCGGCTCCTGGAGCCGAGGGATGATGTGCCCACCGGGATGGCAGCGATCCTGGGTCGTCTGCTGAGAGAAATCCAGGCGGCCCCTTTCAGCGACGGCACCTGTTCTGGTCAGCACAAGCCCACCTTTCATTCAGCAAGGGATTCCCACAGTCCTGGGGCGGAGGAGAGCTGGCCACGTGCTCAGGGGGCACTGGGAGAGGCTGGGGCGCCCATCTTGACAGGCATCGTTGGACACTGGGGGTTGTGTGGAGTCATCACCGGGGTCCTTTTTTCTCAAGTCTGGGAATCTTTTCTCCTAATAGGCACCAGGAGGGCAGGAGTCATCATAACCACATTCTAGGCCCTGGTTCTCAGAACGGCCTGGGCTCTGCAGGGCACAGGGGGCTTTGGCCGGAGGGGAGGAGGCCACGGCCTCATAGTTGAGAGTGCCCTGTGCTAGGTGACGAGCACCCCAAGTCTCGCCTCACACAGCCAGCCCTCCGCCTGCCGCCGGCTGTGTGCTCTCCAGAGCCACGTGGGCAAGCCTGGCTCAGCGTCCCTCTGCCGACCCCTCCCAGGACCAGAAGCGGATGGAGAAGATCTCGAAGCGGGTGAACGCCATCGAGGAGGTGAATAACAACGTGAAGCTGTTGACAGAGATGGTGATGAACCACGGCCAGGGCGGCCCAGCCTCGGGCAGCGGCGAGGACCTCATGAAGGTGGGCCTGCGTCCTCCCCACTCAGCCCACCGTTTGCCCCCCACGGCCCTGACCCTCCACCTTCTGCTCTCAGGAGCTGTACCAGCGCTGCGAGCGGATGCGGCCCACGCTCTTCAGACTGGCCAGTGACACGGAAGACAATGACGAGGCCTTAGGTGAGCCCGGGACAGGCACTGGAGCCAGGTCCCCAAGCCCACTGTCCTCGCTGTCCCCCAGTCTCCCAGGCACTGGGAGCAGGTCCCCAGGCCCGGAGTCCCCTCCATCCCAATCTCCCAAGTAGCCACAGTTGGAAGGAGCCACCACCAGAGGGCCCCCTTCTCCAGTGCTCTCCCTGCTGGGCTCCACTGGGAGAGGGAGGAAGCAAAGTGCCCACTGCCACGGTCTCTGTCCCACTGCAGGCCAGGCCCCTCCCAGGTTCTCCTTAGTGCCCACACCACCATCCTCTGGAGGGGCCTCACCCTCACGGCTTGCCTGGGTCACAGAGCAGTACGGGGCAGGTGGTCCCCAGTAAGGAGGAGCTGGAAAGCTGGGTGGACCGCACAGGCCTGAGGAGCTGCCGGTCACAGCCTGTTCTGAGGTCTCATCCTCCCCTGACCTTGACAGCCAGCACCACCACCTGGGTGCCATTTGGCCCTCTCCTGCAGAATGAACCAGCAGCCGATGTGCCAGCACCTGCCCTCTGCCCACAAGGCGCCTACCCTGAGCTGCCCCTCTGCTCCCGCAGGGCTGACAGGACAAGGGGCTGGCTTGTGACAGGCAGCGTTCTAGCCGTTCAAAGCGGACAAAGTCCTATCTTCATGGAGCTTCTGGTCTAACAAGAGCAGACAGTAAACCAGATGCATTACCTGGCAGGGCAGAGTGAGCAAGGAGAGGAGACAGGAGGCCCACGGGGCAGACCCTGCATGGATGAGATGGGGGCCTTGCCCTCCCCTCCCATTCAGTTTGGGACGGTGCTGCCCGTGCCCACCCCGAGGCTGCACAGCCCTCAGCCCACCGCCTCTCTCTTGTGTTCCAGCCGAGATCCTGCAGGCCAACGACAACCTCACACGAGTCATCAACCTGTATAAGCAGCTGGTGCAGGGCGAAGAGGTCAACGGTGACACCGCTGCCGGCCCCATCCCTGGTGAGGGGTGGCAGGAGCCCCGGAATGGGCCCCCAGTCCACAGGGGCTGCTGAGTGCAGGGAGATGCCCACCACTGCAGGGCGACCCTGGCCTCTTAAGATGGGAAAGGACCCAGCAGGGGAGCTGGGGAGCGTCTCTGCCACGCCCACAGCCGAGAGGGGAGAGCTTGGAAGGCCAGAAGCCTGGTCAAGTCCGACAGGGGCTGTGCAGCGATGGAGCCCCCAGACTTGGCTTAGTTATCTGAAGGTGGGGAGGGCTCCCCTCAGGCTGAATGCAGGCTCTGGGACCACAGAATGGGCCCAGGATAGGAAATGGGGTAGAGGGTGTGCAGATGGAAATATAAAGGATAAAGCAGGGCTTTAAAGGATGGAGGGCAGGTTGCCAGTAGAGACGAGAGGAGGGAGGACATTCGGGACAGAAGGGACGCCACTATTCATGAAGAAAGGGGCTGGTGAGCAGACTTGGGGACAAGGCTGGTGTGGCCCAGGCTGGAGTCAGGGATACATTATGGGGGTCGGGGGGGGGGGGCAGGGACACCAGGCATGTCGGGGACTCCCAAGGCCTGACCTGCCTGACTTGCCTCTTCCATGCCAGGGAGCAACTCGGCCCTGTTGGATCTCTCCGGCCTGGATCTCCCCGCCGCTGGCACCACCGCCCCCGCTGTGCCTGCCCACCCTGACCAGCAGACCAGCCCCGAGCAGCCCAGTGCCTCGGTTTCCCTGCTGGACGACGAGCTCATGTCTCTGGGTGAGAGAGGCGCAGGCCTGGACCCCAGGCAGCTCGTAGAGCACCCCCTCGTGTCCTGCCTGCGCTGTAGGGCTGGGGTGGGGAGGGGACAGCCCCGCCACTGGGAACCTGGTTTGATACAGTAGCCACACCCCAGCTCTGCAGCTGAGAGCAGACAGGGATCCCCCGACCATATTGAAGTCTGAGGTCGAGGCTGCCCAGACAGAAGTTCAAGTTCCCTCGGAGCTCCAGGGAGTGGGGCGCTGCTTGCTCCCAGGGGCCAAAGCCAAGCCCCCTGGATTTGCTGTGGCTTCGTGCAGGCCTGGGAGCTCCAGAGTCCAGGTTCACCCTGGGGAAGGTGCCAGGGGTCCCGGATTTGCTGTGACTTTGTGCAGGCCTGGGAGCTCCAGAGTCCAGGTCCACCCTGGGGAAGGTGCCAGGGGTCCCGGATTTGCTGTGACTTTGTGCAGGCCTGGGAACTCCAGAGTCCAGGTCCACCCTGGGGAAGGTGCCAGGGGTCCCAGTCAGACAGAGCTCAGATTCCAGCTCACTTGTCAGCCAGAAGTGCCCCCTCCTCACAGCACCGGTGTTAGGAACACGCGTGGTATTAGGGCTGTCAGAGGAATCACGAAGGATTGGAAGCTAGAACGTGGGAACCAGTCAGCCCTTGGGAAGGGCCAGGCTCGCAGAGCGGAAGGCTGTGGTCCGGGCCTCTGTCTGCGGTCCACAGGTCTGTCCAGCATTGAAGGGGGGCCCCCTGGGCCTGCAGGTGCCTGGGTGGCATAGACAGTTACATGCTTCAGTAATAACTGGATGGTCGGTTTGTCGAGGCCTCAGAAGAAAGGCGCTTCTGAAAGTGCATCCCAAAGTCTTATGAGTCAGAACTGACCCACAGGCCGTAGATCTGATTTGGATATCTTCCTCTGGACCTGAGGCAGACGCTGCGTTACTGTGTCCTGTCACAGTGGCTGTAAATCTCCCCACTCGAGGTCCAAACGGTTACTGTCCCCTGTGTACAGGGGGACATTGGAGAGGTGAATGGCTTGTCCGGAGCTGTGGAGCAGGTTTGAGGACAGAGGCAGCAGGGTTTGAACCAGACGCCTGGTCTAAAGCCACACCCCGAACCAGTCACTGCTTTGTTTCACTGAGGGAGAAGAGAGGGAAGCTCGGAGTGGGAGCAGTGTGGGAGAGCGGGGTACCTGGGGCCCTGCCCACAAGTCCTGCCCTGCTGCCCTCGTCATGCAGTGCTAAGGGGTGGCTCAGCACATCTGCACCCCTCTTTCCCATTGGCAGAGGAGCACCGGTTTTGGGCTGGTCTTGCCCAGCAGAGCCAGGCCCAGGGCAGCTCCCTGACAGCGAGCGGATGGCTGGGCTGTGCCCCAGGGGTGACCGTGGTCTGTGAATGAAAGGATGCTTTGCACTTCCTGTCTCCATGTTGCCTCAGCAGCTGAGCCTCTAGCTTCCTTCTAGTTTCTTCTCAAAGGCAAGAAAATGTAGGAACAGGAACAGAAACGCTTGGGCAGCCCCGCTGTGGGGGGAAGGACACCCCGGGTCCACAGAGTGCTTGGTGAGTCATACTCGTGGCACGAAGAGGGGAGACAGGCGCCCACTGCCATGGACACGGGTGCTTGCTGGTCAGTCCTGGCCTGAGGGACCTCACGCTGCCTCGCTGGCCACGCTGGCCTGGCCTTGCATCTCGGCCCTGCCACTTCCCAGCAGTGTGACCTGGACAGCGTCCCCTCTCGAGGCCTGTTTCCTGCCTGTCTGAGAGGGTGCCGGGCCCTTGATCAGATTGATTACTCAGCCCTCGGATCGAGGTGCTGCCACTGCCTCCGTTTAACCTGAGGGAACCAAGACAGTGTCTTGGTCACCAGCCCAAGGTCACACGGCTTCATCAGTCCCCGCAGTATTGCTGTGTCCTGCGCAAGTCCAGACGCTGGCATTTTCCAGCTGTGCTTCCTTGGGCAGGTCACTGAACCTGAGTGTCCATTTCCTCACCCCAAACCAGCCCACAAGGAACCCCCCCTTCTCCTGCTTTCTTTCTTGGAGAAATTGACATTATTCATACTTTCTTGATTTTAAATATGGTTTGAGTGAAAGTTTACAAAGCCAGTTGGTTTTCCATGCAGCCATTCATGCATATTTTGTTTGGGCTGGTTTTTTTTTTCCATATTTTGTTTTATAAAATTAGTGACAGTTCCCATAGTGCATTAACACCCTCCTCGCTTTGCCCTGGGCTGCCCGTGTCAGTTGTTCCCCCGGCCTCCTTTCTCTGTGATTTACCCCGGGGCACTTGCTGTTTATCTGAGACTGGAAGGTGTGAGTAACTCCTGCTGTTCTCGGTCACCTTACGGGCCTGCCCACAGCTGAGTGTTCTCGAGAAAATGAGACCAGGCCACTCCTTGGAGGCCAGGATTTTGAAACTCCGTTCTCACATACTTTGGACACATGGCCAGGAGGGACCAGTCCTTGGAGAAGGACATCATGCTTGGAAGGGCGGAGGGACAGTGCAGGAGAGGAAGACCCCAGATGAGATGGATTGACAATGCCTGTGGCAACGGGGTCAGATGTGTCAGAGACGGTGCGGATGGGACAAGGCTCAGAGCTGCTGTTCACAGGGTCACTGTGAGGTGTAGTTGACTCAACATCACGTAGTAGCATTAAACCACGGGGATGAGTTTATTCCAGGTTTGAAGGGCGATTGATGGTCAGAGACACAGGGGATCCCCCAGTCTGTCAGATAAATGAGCTTTTAGACGCACGTTGGTTTTGTCACACACACACTCACCGGCCATGCCACCTGGCTGTCCCTGGTCCTAGATGGCTCTGGAAGAGACAACTCTGACCATAGCTGGCGCCCCGCCCCCACTCGAGCCCTTCCGCAGGCTCTCGCTTCCCTGTTGGCTAGAAACAGGATAGATGGTCTCGCCTAGATCAGATTTGGGGGGACTCCAGTTGGGTGTTGGGGTGGTCAAAGCAGACTGGTCACACACTGCTAACAGCAGGCTTCTGGGTCAGCCTTTCATTTAGCCCTGCGTTCATGGGCCCTCCCCTTCTTGTTGGACCATGCACTGGGTTGGCCATCTCTGATACGTGTCTGGGTTAATGGGTTCTTAGGACATGCAGCTGGCCAAGGCACTGCTTTGCCAATGGTCACTTACTGGCTCTGGAGCAAGCCTGGGCCCACGCCCTGTTCCCTAGACCTCAACAGGCTTCCAGCTCAGAGGGAAGGTGCAGGGTCCTGGCCCCTGCTCTCCAGGACCCCCAGCACCCCATGCCACCTGTGGGTTGCCAGGTGGTGAGCATGGGCAGGGTGAGCTGAAGTCAGTGCCGGACAGGAAGAGCGGAAGCTGGGCCAGGCTCTGCTTCTATTTCTACTCGGCCCCTAGTTCCCACTGGAAGTCTGGGCTTCTCCCCTGAGCCGAGCCTCGAGGGGACAAGAAGGACAGGGGGCAGGTGGGGGGCCTCAGCCAGCTTCCCCATCTTTTCCTTACCCCTCAGGCCTGAGCGACCCCACACCCCCTTCATGCCCAGATGGTGCAGGATGGAACAGCTTCCAGGTAGGTGGGGAACCAGCCTGACCTGCCCCTGTCCTAGCTGGGAAACCTGCAGGGATCTAAGAGCCAGTGGCAGGGGCGCCTCGGGGCTGGTGCAGGAAGGTGGGCTGCACTGCGTTCACATGACTGCATGTCCTTCCGTCCAGCTGCTCTTCATCTCTGGGCGCCTGGGGGAGCTACAGCCCAGTGTGTGGGTGGAGATGGTGGCTCCCCGTCATCTTGCCATGGCAGGGGACAGGTCTCGGGAGGCCAGCCAGGCCCAGTAGCCCTCAGGAGGGAAGGGTCCTCGGCCTGCTGGGCATCTGCCATTCCAGCTGCCTGCACTGTGGGTGCGGACAGTGTGCTGCCTCTATCTCCACACTGCACCCCAGATGTCACCTGCATGGGACACAGGTGCCTCAGCACACCCCTCCACCTGCATCCTCTCTGTGCCCCACAGTCATCTGACGGTGCTGAGCCCCACGCCCCGACCCCCAGCACGGACAGCCAGCCCCCGACACAGCCCCCCGTGCCGGCCAGCAGAGGGCTGGACGACCTGGACCTCCTGGGCAAGATCCTCCTGCAGCAGTCACTGCCCCCCGCGTCCCAGCAAGTGCGCTGGTGAGAGGACGGCCAGCTGAGCTGGGGACCTCCTGACCCCCCTGCACCACTACCACCCCACTGCTGGCTCATCCACAGGCACCAGGGCCCAGGCCCCTCCCATGTACCAGGGTACCCACCCGGGGCCAGGGCACCTACCGTGTACCAGGGTACCCACCCGGGGCCAGGGCACCTACCGTGTACCAGGGCACTCATCGGGGCCAATCCTGTACCCAGCTCTAGGGGCACAGCAGTGACAGGAACAGTGCCCACCTTAGATAGCATGGAATTTACGAGGGGACCTGTGCCCCACTCACACAGCCTCCCCTGAGACCCTCAGTCCCCCGGAGAAAGACTGAAGGACTCGAGGGCCAATGATGATGAGAACATGAGTCCAGGACGTCCTGTGAGGGGCAGAGATGGGCTGAGGTGGATGGGGGAGAAGGTAAGAGGCACCTCTACAGGAGGGGGGCCTGCAAGCCAGTGAGACCAGGCAAGGGGGGCTCCAAGCCAGCAATCAGGGAGGGCCTCTGCTGGGCTCTTGACTGTGGGGCACCATCCCACTCAGGGAGAAGCAGCAGCCGGCCCCCCGGCTCACGCTCCGGGACCTGCAGAACAAGAGCAGCTGCAGCTCGCCCAGCTCCAGCGCTACCAGTGGCCCCCACCCTGCCTCGCACCCTGTGTCCCCCGACCCTGCCGGGCCTCCACAGCAGCCCACACCCCCTGAGCTGTCGCTCGCCAACATCACTGTCCCCCTGGAGTCCATCAGACCCAGTGAGTACCCAGGGGGGCCCACCTCCCCACAGACGCCGTAGGGAGTGCCAAGGAGGCCCTTCCTGTATGGAATCGGCCTCCCCCCACCCCAGTCCCCAGGGGACGACAGAACCGCTGTCACCTCCGAGAGCTAATTCGAAAGGACTTCTCCTGGGCTGGCCTTGGGCCCCTCCTTCCCCAGGAAGGCAGGAGCCAGGAGACACCTTCTGGGGGGACCCCAGATCATGAAACCAACTAAATTAAAGTCCAGGCCCACTCCTGGGGGGGGCTCTCCCTGTCAGGAGCAGTAGTGGGGCCGGAGCCCTGAGGGTGTCACATGTGCAGTATCCCCATTTTACCAGGAAGGTGACCTGAGCTTACAGGAGCCCAGCCCTGTGCCAAGGTCCCTGGGGATGTGCCTCATACCCGCACCTGTCATACCCTCACTTGTGCCTGTGTCCAGTACCCTGGGCAGCAGCCACACAGCACTGCAGGCCCCAGGCTGTGACTGACAGCAGCGCCCGGCCTCCCTCAGACCAGCTGGTCACCTACCTCTGGGCACAGTCTGCCCCTGGCTGTGCTGCTCTGGGGCTGGGGCTGGACATTAGCAGCTGGGTCCCTCATACAAGGAGGACTGAGCATAGCCACCCCCTCCCCTGCTGTCCCCCGCCAGGCAGCATCCTGCCCGTGACCGTGTACGACCAGCATGGCTTCCGGGTGCTCTTCCACTTCGCCCGGGACCCGCTGCCTGGGCGCTCCGATGTGCTGGTGGTCGTGGTGTCCATGCTGAGCACCGCCCCCCAGCCCATCCGCAACATCGTCTTTCAGTCTGCTGTCCCTAAGGTGACTGGGCCCCCCTCCCACCTCCCTAGACTGGCTCTCAGAGTCAGGGGCGGGACTCCAGGGCTAACGATGCCCGCCTGCCACCGCCCACAGGTCATGAAAGTGAAGCTTCAGCCGCCCTCAGGCACGGAGCTGCCAGCCTTCAATCCCATCGTCCACCCGACAGCTATCACCCAGGTCCTGCTCCTCGCCAACCCCCAGAAGGTGAGGGGTCCACCATGGCGGGGCAGCTCTGCGGGGGGCTCGGCTTCCTCTGACCTCTGCTTCCCTTCCACTCAGGAGAAGGTCCGCCTGCGCTACAAACTCATCTTCACCATGGGTGACCAGACCTACAACGAGATGGGGGACGTGGACCAGTTCCCCCCACCCGAGAGCTGGGGGAGCCTCTAGGGGAGGGCCACGGAGAGGAGGGGGCAGAGGCCCAGCCATCACAGCCTGCTGGGGGCCGTGGTGGCCCTGGGCACCCTGTGTCCCCATGGCCACCTACTCCAAGGCCTGGTGCTTCTCCCCTCACCTGGTGGCCCCCAAGTGACTTGACCCCTCCCTCCCGCCCTTCCCCTGCTGAGTCAAACCCAGCAGGAGGCTGGGCCTGGGTTTGCACTGCTGGGGACCCCACACAGTGGGTGCCTAGAGAGGGGGGCACTGCACGACCCTGGAAGGACTTGGGGTCCTGGGAGAGAAGCGGGGCTGTCAGGAGGCCCAGCCCGTCTCTTTTGCCTTATGGGAAGGCCCAGCCATAACTCGGGGCTGCGCTGGAGCCAGGACAGCTCCTCCATAGGAACCGGGTGAATGTGGGGGTGGTGCCTGCACCCCCAACTGTTTGCACTTCTCTGGTGTGTGGTTTGACTCTTTGCTTTTGTTTCCAAGTGGGCTCTGTGGTCACAGTTGGGACCCTGCCTGTCCCCGCTCGTCCGGAGGGTCCCTGCACCTGCCGGGCCCTGCTGTCAGCCCCTACAGGGCTGTGCCCCCCCCCCCCCCCCC